GTGTAAATAGAACCTATAGGATATAGTGTTTGAAGTATTTCTGTCTTTAACGTTTGAAGCTCTGTTTTGTCAGCTTTTTTATCTAACTCATCGTTAACATATGTTTTGTCAGCTTTGTTGTCATATAAATCTTGAGCAGTGAATTTAACTTTGTTTTCATCTCCATGACATAGACATTTCTACATTTAATGTCTTTCATCGTTGTTATGTCATCCTCCGATGTTAAACCTTGTGGAAAGTTAGGAGGTTTCCAATTTAATACATCCCCACCAGTTCCATCAGGTTCTTCAACCGTTCCTGCAATATTTTCTATACAACAGTTGCGAAGAAATCGTGTGTATGTCAACGTCACTTTTCCTGTTTAAGGTTTCTTGTAAGTTTGTAATATTTGCAATGGTATGTGTATGAGTCTTTTTAGAAATTCTTTGTCAGCTCTTGTCACTTCACTTGACATTTTATTGTCAACATATGTTTTGTCTGCTAGTTCAGGATGAGTATGTTCTTTCGTTGCATATGTTGCATCTGCTCTGTCATGTTCTTCTTGAACTTTTTCAATGACATACTCTTTGTCAGCTTTGTTGTCAACATCTGCTTTCGTTGCATATGTTGCATCTGCTCTGTCATGTTCTTCTTGAACTTTTTCAATGACATACTCTTTGTCAGCTTTGTTGTCAATATCTGCCTTCAAAAGAAGTTCATCTATAGGTTTCTCGTTTAAAGTTCTTTTTGTTGGATTTATACAAACAGTATGGTTCTTACTGTCTTGAAACAGAAACTCATCTGTCATTGGGTTTATCGTCAGTTTTAAGTTTCCTTCTTTCAATGACTCAGATATCTTAGAATAGTTTGAAAAGTTTGTTGTGTTCTTATTTAGAGCTTGCACAATGAGCTGTCGGTTGTGTTGTATTTCTCTCATAGACGCTGTTTCTTTCGACATTTTTATTCTAGATAAAATATGCTTTCAATAGAAAAAGAAAATTCAAGAGTTGCTACAACTAAACCATTAGATGAACTTTTTACTAACGTAGGTCAAAAGTTTGAGACAGAGACCGTAAAGCATGAAGGCTATCGTTTTGACTACCCACTAAGATGGTTAAGAGACCCATCTGTCACAAAAGCTGTTGGCTTTCGTAGAATGAAGTTCATTTCAGAAGCCATACATGGTTTCCCATTTACGGTCGCTTTTGAAGTTCGATACTATAACAAAGAAAAACATACGTATGAGAAATTTGAACAGGGAAAACTTTTACAAGTTAGTTTGCTTGTAAACTTAGAAACAACTCTTCAAGCTTTTCAAGAAAAAATAAACGATATCTATCTCGAATATGCAAAACAGTACAACATTGACGAAGGAGAGTACCATCTCGATATTATATATGACAGGAAAAATGCAACTGTTAAAATCGATAGAATAGAAGACCTTGGAGAAAACGTTTATATTTCTACAAAATATAACAACTTGGCATGGTATAGGTTTTTGAGGATGTTAAATCAGCCTGCAGAATATCCAGTACACCCGAACTTTTATGAAGTCGAAAACCCTAATGGAACATATGAAAATGTTTTCGACCCAGATGCTATTATAGTTCATGCTTCATTTTCTGGTGCACAAAACTCTTTTTTATGCTTGGCAAATGACTTTTACGAAAAACCTACAAAGCTATATGAACCACCGAGTGGAAGTATTTCAGACTTTCAAGTATGGTTTACAACAGATGGAAGAAAGAGAATAGTTCCATTATACCATGCGTTTTACTTAGAACTTAGTCTCATATACAACTACTATCGAACGGTAAAAATATAATTTTAATATGGTTGAGGTGTTGGATTTGGTTGCCAACTTGACTGTGGTGCAGGTTCAGGCTGTTGTATAACAGGAGCTTGTTCTTCTGGTTCAGGGTCTTTAGGTATATATACCAACAAACTGACCTACCCTTTTACCAATATTTTTGACTCCGTTCCAAATTCCTCTTCCTACGGTTTTTATTCCATTCCATATACCTCTTCCAACATTTCGAAAGAAGTTTCCTATCTTACTGAAGAAACCCATTTTACTATATGTAAAAATCTAATGTCGCCTAGTCTCTTACGTTTCCTGTTGAGTTCCATAGCATTCTTTAACTGGAGCTCATACATTCTATTTCTCCTCTGGTAGAAAACATACTCTGGGTCAACTCCTGTGTTCGCGTCATCTGCATAGAGTTGTTTATATCCCACTTCAGGTTTGTATAAAACTCTTTCCATCTCATATTTGCATACCATGGTGGTAAGCCTAACGCAGCGTCATTTGACATGGCAGTTTGCATTTGTACATCTGTTGGCACTTGACCATAGTTTGCCATTGCAGTTTGTATTCTAACTTCATTTGGAATATTCTCTGGGTTTGGTTGTCCAGGTTGCTGTGCATTCGCTAAGTTCTGTGCGTCCATTTAATATTAGATAAAAATATCTCTTACGAGTACATATACTGAACATTTGCAGGCATTGGTTCATCTTTCATATTCTCTATATCTTTCTGCCACGTCAAATAAGTAAATGACACAATGGAAAAAACCTAAAACAAGTAGTCCTATTTCAAACCACATTTACTTACTAGTAAAATTTCTTTGTTATGACACTTTCTCCAGTTTATAGGACCTCTCTCATATTCTATCTTATCGTATCTAAACTCATAGTCAATGTATGTCCTCTAACCATCTCATGACATTTCCAAACCACTTTTATCGGATGTAAAGTAAAAGCATGGATGGTTATGTAAAACGTCTAAAGTTTCTAAAGAGTCTCTCAAAGTCCAGTCTACTTGGTATTGAAAATCCCATGTGTTATAGAACGGCGGGTCTACTATAAAGAAAACATTTTCCTTGTTTTTATATTTTTCATACAACTCTGTCCAATGACATCTCACAAACTCTATACCCTCAATATATTTTTCTATGTTCTCTTTGAAAACATTTGTATAGTTAAGATTAAAACTTTTGACATAAGTGTTTCAATGTCATGAACTCTTATAGCACCACTATATAATAGTCTAGCAGATATACTATCCCAGTCAATATACTCTGCCTTTTTCAAAACCTCTCTGACAGTATTTTTCTTATCTAATGGTATACGTTCCATCTTACCTATAGGTATCTTTTCTTTTAACGCTTTCAATATATTGTTTGTGTCTGGAATATGTTTGAGACGGTCCATATAGTTGTCGAAGTCATTGCATATAATCTTTGAGTCTGGGAATATTATATGACATAGATGGGATATATAGAAACTTCCACCGAACAAGTCTACAAATGTTAGACCATTCGGTAGTTTCTTAAGTTCTCTCAATAGAATATCTTTACATCTACTCTTATTTCCAAAGAAGGGTAACGGTGGTTTTGTAAAATTCATTTTATATATATAATAAAAATGTTTTTACCTGAAAAGTGACAGAAAAGCGGCTTTTGACAGATGTTTTATTGTGACTTCTTCGTAAAGACTTTGTTGAGATTTCTTCGTAAATGAGTGTAAATGACCCAAAAATATATTTTAGGGTAGAAGGGTATATCTAACCTCTTTTCTAACCTCATTTCTACCCTCTTGAATTTTCATGAATTTCTTCGTAAAGACTTTGTTGAGACTTCTTCGTAAAGACTTTGTTAAGACTTCTTCGTAAATGACCCAAAAATATATTTAGGGTAGAAGGGTATATCTAACCTTTTTTCTAACCTCATTTCTACCCTCTTGAATTTTCATGAATTTCTTCGTAAAGACTTTGTTAAGACTTCTTCGTAAAGACTTTGTTAAGACTTCTTCGTAAAGACTTTGTCAAGACTTCATCGTAAAGACTTTGTTGAGATTTCTTCGTAAATGACCCTAGTAGTATATTTTTGGTGTAAATTTCATGAAAATTCAAGAGGGTAGAAAAGAGGTTAGAAAAGAGGTTAGATATACCCTTCTACCCTAAAATATATTTTTGGTGTAAATTTCATGAAAATTCAAGAGGGTAGAAAAGAGGTTAGAAAAGAGGTTAGATATACCCTTCTACCCTAAACATTATTTTTGTCTGATTTTACGAAGAAGTCTTGACAAAACATTTACGATGAAATCTTGACAAAACATTTACGAAGAAGTCTTGACAAAACATTTACGAAGAAGTCTTGACAAAACATTTACGAAGAAGTCTTGACAAAACATTTACGAAGAAGTCTTGACAAAACATTTACGAAGAAGTCTTGACAAAACATTTACGAAGAAGTCTTGACAAAACATTTACGAAGAAGTCTTGACAAAACATTTACGAAGAAGTCTTGACAAAACATTTACGAAGAAGTCTTGACAAAACATTTACGAAGAAGTCTTGACAAAACATTTACGAAGAAGTCTTGACAAAACATTTACGAAGAAGTCTTGACAAAACATTTACGAAGAAGTCTTGACAAAACATTTACGAAGAAGTCTTGACAAAACATTTACGAAGAAGTCTTGACAAAAAAGTCAACGGCTGGTCGGCTGGGGTTCGGTCCTCCTCTTGGGTCTTGGGAAAAACATCTTCGGGGGCTAGAAGGCACGAAGTGCCTGGAAGCCATCCCCCAAGAAAAAAAAAACTTCATTATACTCATTCATCCTCAGGGCTAGAAGGCACGAAGTGCCTGGAAGCCCCACTTCCTTTTTTTTTTTTTTTTTTTTTTTTTTTTTTTTTTCATTGAAAATCCTTATAAGATTTTACAAAAATATTAGATCCAATATCATCTCACCCAATTAACAGTATACGTTCATGCATTTAGATGTGTGCTTAAAGGTGTTTCAATTCATTGCATATTCCATATCATCTATTGAGTAATATAATCATGATGAATTTCATTAGGATATTTCCACAAATTGGCTTGGACAATTCTTTTATGATAGTCCAAAAGAACCAGAAAAATCATTAGAATAACTTAAATATAATCAATTTTTATCTAGCAAAACAAAATTCCTAACAAGAAACAAGATAGCATAGCTAACATAACCCAGAGAGTGAGTTACTCCGTAATCGGCATATTAGCGTCTAAAGGAGCTGGCATTTGACCATTTGCCGCAGCTTGGAATGCTATTTTTCCAGATAGCGTAGTAAATCTATTTTTAATATGAATGTCGGTTCTATCAGGAAAGCTTTTTGCAATTATTGCCCATTGTCTTCCGAATTCTTGATATTTTTGAATTAATAAAGCATCTTCTTCTGGAGACCAAGGTCTTAGATTGACCTCAGGCCTCAAGTAGTTTTTCCATCTATCACGACATTGCCTAGCATTTCTATTCTTGAGTACTGCTGCAATACTTTTCCAATCATAGCCATATTGCTGCACCAATCGTTTCAATGTTTCATCTTCTCCAGGTGTGAACTTATGCTTTCTTGTATTTTTATTTCCGGGTTGCGCTGGAACGTTTTGAATCAAATTAGGGTCAAAATTCGGATAAGCGCTTAAGTATTCATGTATCTGTGATAAAGAATTCATCATTGTGTTTGGATCTATCATCTGTCCAGGAAGAGGAAGATTGGGTGGCTGCTCGTCTTTATCCATTGTCATCCTTGAAACTTTTGATAATAAAAAGTGCCATAAAGCCCGCCATTTTTCGTTTTATTTGAAAACTCGAACTTAATTATAATCATCAGGGATATATTAATGTTAATATTTCGATGATGCAATATGTTGGAAAATCAAGTTTTTTTGCAGGATATATGTGAAATTTATTGGCTATATAGGCCCTACATGTTTCTTTCTGTTTCCTTAGCACCAACAAGCCACAGATTCCACATTTGCTTGAACATATCATCATTTTATAATGTTATTACTTATAAAAGATCTAAAGGATAAAGTATTTGAAATATCTTTACATATGCTATTTTGTTAGTAGAAAATTAATCTTGATAAAGAAAATCAGAGTTTCTCAGATTCTTTCATAAATGGAGATTTTTTGTAGTAATTTACACCCTAAACAATGCATTTGCTGGCCATCACTATAATGATATAACATGTTTCTCAGTTTATGTTCGAGGCATTTGAGTAACTTTTATGAAATTTGCAACAACAAACATGGAAATTGATGATTGAATTTAAAATTTATATCTCACAAAAGAGTTATTACATGATTGTAAAAGATATAACTATAAAGGTGGAATAAACGATAGAGTTTTAGTTTACTCGTTTTATGTTTTAGTTTGGACCAAAAATATAAAAAATCTGTGTTTGTGTTTGTCACAAAGCAATTTTCATATGTCATTTTAAATTCTTGACATTTCCAAACGATAGACACTCGGAAAAATTGGATATAATACTGTTTCCAGAAGCAGTGTTATTTCTTACCATTTTCCCTTAAAAATAACGTTCTTGATGCATTTTACATCATTGAATTTTTTTTAGTTTTCAATTTTTCAATGATGTAAAATCTAAGAATTTTGAACTCGCACTCGGGTTTTTATTGTATTAAATGAGTATATTTTTTCTTGTTCGAAGTTAAAAGTGAAATGGTTATAATTTTTTTTTCTTACAAAGGAAAATGTTTTTACTTTTTCTTCCTATCTTAAGGGTGCACACGAGAGGATCATGTAAACTTCAGAATTTAGAACCTTATTTTTAGGCATTATCTTGGCTACCTATTTAGGCTCGAAAAGCAAAAAATATCAAAAAATACAACTTGACTCCATTATGACCCTTTCATGGAGGTAGTTTTTATCCGCTAGTATTTTCCCTTTGAATCTCTTTACAATTCGAAATCAAATTCAAATCTCAGTAGAAGAAAGGAAGAATCGACTTACTACGGTTGTAATACGAATAAATACATATATTTAATTATTTTTATTTACATAATAATTGTTTGAAGCTCATATTCCAACAAATTTTTAAATAAAAACATTAAAATGTTGAAAATATTCATATATTTTAATAGGGTTTTGGCACTTTATTGAGGAATTACTACATACATAGTCGAACTGAACTTGATATTTTGAAATTTAAATTATTTATCAAAATTAAAATTTAACTTGAAATTTATAATTATTTAGTCATATTTTGCATAATTCTAAGTAGATTTTGTAAAAAATCAAGAAAGAAAAATTTTAACGTGCTTTATTTTTTCTTTTTTATAATAATACATATTATTATATAATTAACATATTCATAATGTTTCACCCTTTCAAAAATATAATCCTCCTCCTCTCAAGTAAACGTACATACGGGTGGCCTCTTTTTTCAAAAAATTAAAATTTGAAATTTTGGGCTCAAATATTAGAGATTTTTTCAACCTTCAACGATATATGTTGTCTATATCAGACCTCCTTTCTTTTTGATACTTAACATTGTTCCTAAATCTTAGCCGTTAAGGCTGTTCTGAAAATATTTTTTTTTCGAAAAAATTCGAAAAAAATTCTTAAAATTCAAAAATCCCTTAATTCCTGAAGATTTTGGAAAAAAGTTTTTACATGAACATGTGTATATTATATGAAGTATATTGATAAGGTAAAAATCAAATTTTATTGCATATTCATCGAGAAAATAAACTAACGAATCCCTCAAAATTGAGAGGGTAATCCTCCTCCTTTCAAATAAACGTACATACGGGTGCACCCTTAAGTCACCAAGAAATTCAATGTGAGCAAATCACAACTCCTCTCAAATTTAATGTAGATAATTCGATAATTTGCTCCGGATTATCTCCAGATAAAAAATATAAAATAAAATTAGCACAAGGTGAAAATCTAGAATCAATAGAAGATGCTACTTTTACAAGCCCAAATATATTGACATTCAATCCTACATATCGTGATGAATTCAAAGAAATTTACTTAATCGTCGATGGAAATGAAATTTTTTTGCAAAACATTCTGTTCGATGTAAAGCCATCAGTCGGAATACAAACATATGATTCTCAACCATATATTGGTAAATGGAGTAGGGCTGTTATTTCCAAAAAATTTGATTCATCCTATTTTGGAAAAGGAGTAAACAAGTTCGAAGCAGTAATTTCAGATAGCCCACCACCAACTGAAAACACGTTTACAGACAACCAAATTGCAATTATCGAAGGCCAACAAGATTACTTTTTCACCCCAAGAACTGTAACAATCGGCGAACATTTTCTTCATATTCGTTTACATGTAATAGATGGAGAAACGGATATTGTTGGCGATGCAAGAACACTTCCTATTAATGTTATTGCTCCTTTCAGTACTAACATAATTCTTCCCAGAAGATTGTCCTCGTCATACTATGCCGCTGCAAACAAATTACCTAATTTCGAAGTAGATGTTGAAGCATCAGTTCCAAATTTCAACATATTATATAAAGTAGGCTCATTTACACGGAATCTAGAAGAATATACATATTATATGAATCATTCTAATCCTTATACAACTAAAGTTTATCGAGTGGATACATTAACAATTCCAACAGATATTTCAAAAATCGAAGATACAATAACTTTCATTTTAGTAGATAATACAACATCAGAGATTTTGAATTACACAGAATTTAAAGATATTAGTGTAATTCCACAATTAACAATTGAGAGTCTTACAGTAACTAACAATTTAATGGAAAATGGCGCAGTCATTGCACTATTAGGAGGTGAACTTCCTTGTCGAGTTACATTTGCCAATGAAGTTGATATTAAAATACTCAAACTCACTGAAGTTACAGTTCGTAAACGTTTATCACCTGTTGGTAATTCAAAAAATGTTTTCGATTTTAGTTTCGTACCATCTGCGACTAGCGGAACTAGTGTTATGTCTGCAGATATAACTTTCACGCAATTAGGTATAGAGAAGACAGCCTATCTAAGTCTTAGATTTATTGATATTAAATATAATACAAAATATTTACCATTGACAGGTAACATTACAGGAAAATTAGAGATAATACACAGTGTCCCCTCCGGTTTGTATCCATTCAAAACCGCTGCAAATTTCGGCAATAGTTCTACAACACCAGAAGATTATAACTTTGAAATAATAGAAACGACACCTGCAAGTTTCTCCATCGATTTGACTGTTCAAATTACTTATGATCAAAACGGGCAGTTACCATCTCAAATCACATTTGCTGCAATTTCTGCAAAAGGAATTTATTGCACAAAAACTTTTGATATTGAGTTTGTAAAGGAACTAGAGATCGAATCCATTACTGACACCAGTAGTACACACACATACAAAGTAGGTTCAAGAATGTCACTGAAAATTAAAACCAAAAAACCACATCCAATCGAAGCATCTTCATTTAAATATCTTTTCACTGATAGTGAATCTCTTGAAATGGATGAAACTAATTCACAAACACTTGATGTTGAGAGGGTTTCAAAAGTTCCAAATACAGAAAATGAATTTATTCTTTCATTTTTAATCCCAAGTACAGTTACTGTTGGCCAACAGAAATTGTTATTGCAAGTAATTAGTCCAGCTTCATTTGCTTCAAGTGTATATTCATTTGATGTAACAATTGAAGCCGGCCCTGCAGTAAGCTCAATTAGTTGCAGAAAGACAGAAGATATGTATCCGTCAGGATATTATATACTATTCAAATGCAATATTGATAACTATGAAAGTTCCGAAGTTACATATAAAGGTAAGGTCGGAAATCATGATCCTGCAGCCGATTCCTCACAATACAATCTTAAAGTGAGAATGGAAGCTGTTGGCGCATCGAATGAATTTAATGTTCAAGTAGGAGTTACAGACCAAACTGTAGAGCAAACAATTGTTTCAATTGCAATGATTAAAGCTGACTCATCTGCAGCGATAATAAAGTATTGCGAAGTATCTAATCTCAAAATATGTGCACTTCCTGATATCCAATATATTTCCCCTTCTGTTTTTCCAGAACAATTTTCAACAGCAGCTTTTAACTTCAAAGTCAAATATATTTGTGATTTCAGCACAATGAAAGTACAATATTGTGGATATACTGCCAGGTATTACCAAAATGCAATCTCAGTATCTAGTTTAGGCGCTGACAACACTTTCTCTGTCACAATTAAATTGGCATATGATTCTGTGGACTTTAAATTTATTGACAAGTTTAATAATGTTGATACTGCGTATGTTGAACTTAATACTAACAGATTTTCAAATACTGCATTTTCCTGTTCTATTATAGATAAAAAAGATGAATACCATGAAGGTGACATAGTTCAAGTCAGGTGTACTGCAAGATATTCAAGACAATCTTATGCACCTCGTGAATTTTATTTCTTAGATTATACCAGTAATAAAGTTAGTATCCCTAAGTCGTGTACTGAGGCACTGCGCGCCTCCTTACCCATTATATGTGAATTTAACACTTTACAAAACCGTTAACGTATATTTTACAACACCAACGACAACACTAACTTAACCTTAAATATTTACAAACCGCCAACCACTAATGACTTCATTAATGTAAAAATAAACGTTCTCACTTACAAAAGTATTGCAACTCCTCCCATTGCTGTGCTTCACATAACAGCTCATAATCTTCTGACTCACTTTCTTCTTCATATAGGTCAAAATCACTGTCAAAATAAATGTTAGTAAGTTTTGACAAAAGCTAATGAAAAC